GGGGCAAAAATGTCATGGAGCAAGGAATGAGAACAAGTTGTGACCAGACTAAAACATGGCGCTATTACAGTCGCCCGAAAATGTTTGAGCTAACTACATGTTTGCATAGATTATCAAATCCCGTAGAACAAAACGACACTCCACCGATATTCAGGAACTAGAACATAAAATCTGTTTAAAATCGAAACTATTTTTGTAGTTTTATACAAGTTTTGAATGACTTCCTTTTACGACTCCTAGAGCTTCTACGCATTTTATATCATTTTAAACAAAATTTCAATAATGATTTTCAAGATCAATTCAAGCAGACTTCTTCAACAAAAACAAAAACAAAAACAAAAAAAAAAGCGCCATAAAACTTAAGAGTACAGAAAATTTGGAAAGAAGCGCGAAAAAAGAACCAGTTTAGCTCTTTAAACATTTTCACTAGGAAAAAACAACGCACGTTTCTGAAGCAGGAGCTAAAGTTGATTATAGAAAAGTCAGGATTAACAAAATTTCACCTGCTGCAATCTGAAAAATAAAAAAAGCAATTATTAGTAAGGTTTTACTCATCACCAGAATAAACAGGATCCCCAAAGCAGTCACTGTTACAGTTTACTCTATTTCGTCGTTGTCATCTTCATCGTCATCATCATCATTGTCGTCAGAATGAACACAGTGAGCACTATTATTATCTCGATAAGTACCAGGATACCCCTGGAAAGTATGATTATCAATCTGAATAAAATTTTCTCAAAACAGGCAGTATCGTAGACAGAAACAACAAATCAGATAATGCAGCGAAAATCTAAACCAGACTCTACCCGCAAATGTGAATAAGGTGGCGGAGGGGTTTTCTGCCGTTCGGTCATATTCCGCCTTTTTCTGGTTCTGCGTCTATTTCTTTTTAAAGTTGATACAGCCCCAGAACGACTATCAACATACAACTTCATGCCAGCAGGCTTAACTACCCCATAGGTTGATAAACTAAAAAAAACATATACGAAGACCTTTAACAAGAAGAAGAAAGCAGCCACAAAAGAAGGCCCCAAGAATGCGTCTTTTAAATTCTAGATTTTACTCACGATGAAAACAGAACAAAGTGCTTAGA